CAGTTTCCTTGTGGATGGAGTGGATGGATGCCTTCCTCCATTTGGAGTTCGATTTTTTCTTGCTTGAAGGGGAGACCTTCCTCTATCTGGAGTTCATTTTCCCTCTGGATGAAGGGAATGCTCACAGCCATGGGTAGTCTGCTTTCTTGTTGCAGTGAGGAAGGAAAGCAGTGAGTGTTGCTGTTGTCTTCCTCAGGTGTGGGGCGTAAGCTTGTCTGTTGCTGCTTGACCCTGGTATGGTGGAGGGCCACAGCAGGTTCAACCTGTGCCAAGGCAGCGCACCCCCAGCCAGTCGCAGTGGCTGCTAGGGCACAAGCAAGGATACAGAAGAAGAAGCTTGAGCCAAAGAATGAGGACAGGCCCAAGGGCTGCAGCTCCTGCTCAGTGCGGAGGTTGCGCCTTGTCAGTGCCAAGAGGCAGGAGCTTGTGGCCATTGCAATGGCAGCAAACAGGGCAGCTAAGCCGTGTAACAGGGGGGCAGCTACTCTGCCCCACGGCAGCCCCAAAAAGTCAAGCAGCAAGGCACCACAGCTGCTGAGGATGGCTAGCAGGCAGCAGAGAGCTATCAAGTTCAGGAGGATGACTCCTGCACAGCCCAGGAGTGGGGAGTGAGGTGAGGGGTACCTGGGATTAAGGGCCCAGGTAGCCCCTAGCACAAACTGGATTGTTTTCGTGTGGCCTCGAACCACAACCCAGCTAGGGTAGGCCCCAGCTATGCACATCATCCCAAGGGCTAAGCACTGGGCTACAGCTGCAGCCAAGCTGCCCCTTCGCCTTCTGCCTTTCAAAGAGGTGTGGCTGTGCAAATCCTTCTGGCCCATCACAGAGCTTGTTGCTGCTTCTGTGGAGCTGTGCTGCAGGTGGGCAGGGCAAGGGAAATGTCGCCAGCTCCTGGCCCCCAACTCTGGACTCTTCCTTCCTAAGTCTGTGGGCAGCTGCACCTTGGCCAGGCGGAGCAGGTGCTGGGAGACCCCCCTGGAAGTGGAGTGGGGCAGGGGCCTTGCTGGACTTACACACTAACCCTGCTGAGCATGATACCAGTATGCTGTGCCCTGAGAGAAAGAAAAAACGAAATCTCAAGTAATACTGTAATCCAGGGCTCTGTATCAGGCCTATTCAGAAACAAATACTGTCCAGAATACTAGAGCTACCAGTTAAAAGGTCAAATTATATATGACATTTTTATTACAAATCATCTAAGTAGATGAGGGTCACTAAAATATTTTCCTATGTTTCTTTTTCCCCCTCTGTCCAAAAAAAAAAAAAAAAAAGTCTCTTTGTTTTCCCTCCTCATTCCCTGCCAGTCTCGGAAACAGAGATAAGAATAACTGTATCCATCTAATTTTTTATGGGGACTATGCTGAGAGCCAGCACAGTGGCAAAATCATAAGAAATCTGCATTAGAAACCCTAATTAGATTCATATAGCAAAAGTAATCAGTAGCCAACAGAATGATAACAAAAACATAGAAGCAATATCATTAAGATAGTTGAAAAAACTTATATTTCTTCAGAAAAAATGTTTGTGCTAGTTACACTTAGATAGCAGTATCTTTACTACTACAAGTGGAACTACCATGATATGAAGCACCATTTCAACCTGCTAAGGTGAAAAAAGTAAACATGTCAACTTGATAGCATACAAAGAAGCTTAAATTTAAGCTGTTACATATTCAAAGCTAAAGTGGTGTAATTGACCTCAAAACAAGTATGATTTTTTAAAAGACAAGCACTGCCAAAATAAAAAGATAGCTTTGCAATTACCTTCACAGATTTGTTCCTTATAAGAGAGGTTACACGAAGGATTTACTGAAGCTCTATTTATTACTAAAAGCAGCAGGTGAATCATCTGTATTGCCCAGTTGTTTCCTTGGCAGGCTTCTGAATGAATATCTATTATTACTGTCTATTTCCCAGTTACTGTAACTGATTCATATTTATTCATAGATTTGTTTTAATAATCCATAACTGACCAGGTCACAGTAGTAATCAAAAGTTTACTTTAAAGGTACTTCAAAGTGATAGCGATAAAAAATCTTGGCTATCCAATGATCAACCAGTGACCCACATAAAATAAGTGGTTACAGTGGAATTTCCATTAAGCAATTGTCTACATTATGAAAATCATTACACATTAATTGACAGTCTGACTGTAGATCAAAATCTGAATAAGCTTCAAAAGATAACATACTTATTCACTTGCAAGGGAGATCACATTCAGAGTTTAGTGCTTTCAAGGTTTAGCTAATCCATTGCATAGGAAAGTAAAAAAAAAAAAAAAAATTGTTATAATAAAACTCACAAAAAGATCAATTGAACTCGCAAAAAGATCAATTATAGCTATATGTATTATAAACTGTGTCTAAAAAAAACTTGTATGGTTAGTTCACTACAGCAATGAAATTTTATTATTCCAAACATAAGTCCAGATGTTTCCCAGATATTTATATAAGGTCATCTAAATGCCAGTTTTAAGACAGATGTTTAGGTAACTCCTGAATGATGATGTGCTATAGTTTATGTTACAATATTAAATGGATTTCATGATTTCTTTTTCAAATTTATTGTAAAAGCTACGTCTGAGAATAACTTTGCAGTTTTAGTTTAGTGTAGTTCAATGAATAGTAAATACAGAATAATCTGAAATATGTGAAAACAGTACACAATACCGAGTACTTTGATGGATAAAACTTTGAGATTTTTCCAATGTAACATGTCAGTAAGCGTCAGTAACAATAATCCTAATCTGCTCGCTTTCTATTACTTTCACTCTTTTTTCTTGCTCGGCAAGGAGAAGAGATGCTCTATAGTCTTCATTATAATCACCTAGTTTTAAAGTATTTTGTATGGCAGTAACAGTTTTGCTTCTCTTAAAAACCTTAACTATCTTCAGTAACCCAGACAGGTAAATAAGCTTAAATTTAAACTGAACATTATTACTTACTTTTTTTGAACTTCTGTGATTAGTAACTGACAGAAGGTCTGTTTCTGCTCCCACTGAAGTAGATTAATCTAAAGTCTTCATGCTTCCTGGTTTCCAGCCTCAGGATGAATTTCTCCCATAATGCAAAGAAAAATCAGTCTGGTAAAATGCTGACTAGAGCAATTACTCAAAGCAGTACAAAAGAATAACACAGACGTATACCAAGGAATTTCCACTTGTGTTTGCCTTGCATTTCATTACTGATGGCGGTGACATTAAATGAATCATTGCTAATTAGTCATTTTTGCTTCTTGCCATTTATGGTTTTCTTCCTCTCTAGCATGAAAATTCAGTATATAATATTAAAACCCTGTATTTTGTTTAAACTCTAGATAAAGCATGCATCATTTTAGCAAGTAGGTATTTGAAGTGACGCTCTAAGTGCTTCCCTAATTTACTGCTTGCAAATTAAATGCAAAGTCTGTAAAGCACTGGGAATCATGGATTACTTCCTGTGTTATTTTAAAGGTTAAGTATAGTCAATATTTGCATAATTGTCAGTTCTATTTAATTTTACCATTTTAAGCGTATACCTTTGCAGAGGATTTGTATCAGAAGACTATATAACACATTGTAGCTGTAGGAAATGATCTCTTATGAGAACCGATCTGACAGCATTATGTTCAGTTGCGGAAGTTAAATACACCTATGCTCTTACGTATTCAAATTCCAATACACGTTCTCAGCCAACTACAGATCGTTCATTTCAAAAGTCACACCTTACTGACAAAGGTCTCTCCTGCTCCTGCTTACTTCACTAACTGAACAGTGGCATCATTCAATCTGTGTAACCATTATGTAAGTAAGCCTTCTCCTGAGTGTTTTTGGTGTCTTCCTCTATGCTTGTCTAATTGTCTGCATTTACAGTAAAAAAAATCATGTAACTGCTTATCTATGAATACCTTTACTAATACTATACAGACTACTACACAGAATATTAAGGTTAGTGTTTTATATCACCCCTCCTTAACCCTGTCATTATCTGCTGAGAGAACTGCCGTGGCTCTTCGTTACGCACAAGGCCCCTTTATTCCCTGTAAAGGACTACCGTCCAATTTGTTTTCTCCAACGCTGTGTTACTTGGCCGTTTTTGCAAAGCAACTCGTGTGACAGGCGCTACGGAAAGTAGAGCCTTTATCGGTCTGCCTGCACTTCCTCACAACCCCCGCGGCTGGCAGGTGTACCTGCCAGGCCCGAGGACGGTGGCTCTT